GTCACCATCCATAGGCCCCGGGATCCATGATCAGGTTGAAAGGTTCTGCTCTGGCAGAGACAGCGACCTCCTCCTCCCCTGCGCTTCTTGGGCGTTCCCCACCGGGAGCGACCGACCCGTGGGCCAGGCGCATCTTGTCACGGTTCCCCAGGGGCCCCAGGGAACTCCGGTCGCTAAATGCCAGGTAGTGCCTGTTCCACCTCCCATTGTGGCCTGAGCATGGGGACAGAGCCGGTACCTTGGTTCACCAGCTCTGTCGTTCCAATGCCTCCGGGGGTTACGTTGGTGCCCAGTCGGTTTGCTCCTGGTCGTTAGCACGGCTGCACAGGGGGACCTGGCCTGGGAGCAGCCCTAGAGAAACGTACGCGCCGTGGGCTGGGGCTCTGAGCAGCTCGGGGGGTCGATGCCTGGGTGTCAGACTGCACCTCTAGCCAAACCCCGAGCTGTCCATGGGCCCTGACCTCGGCTCCCGGAGAGACCCAGGCACCGGCTCTGCCCGCCCCGTGGTACCCGGCGGCTGTAGCGAGCCCTGCAGGCATGATCCTGCCCTGCCTCCGCCTCGCCAGGACATGGGCTGAGGGGCTGTTTCCGGACGTCCTGCTCTGCGTGTCTGAGGCCTGACAAGTCTCGACGCCCCTCATGCCTGTGACTCCCCTCCACGCACAGGCTCTGCGGACCCCAAGCCAGAGAGCAGCTGTGAAATGGAGCGAGGGGACGAGCTCCAGCGGGGGCAGGACAGAGAGATTCCTGAGGCACCCAGCACGCGTGAGTGAGGCCAGGGGGCTCCCCCAGAATGGCTCGGGCAGGGGCCGGGGCTGGGGGTGGACGAGAATGTTCCTGTTTCTCAGTGGGGTGGGCTTTGATCTCCCCGGCCTGCTTCTCGCACATGTTGTCCTGTCCCCCACTGACTGTATTTCCTCTCCATGCGGCTTCCTTCCGTCTCGTGGTGGCTGCTGCTCCGGCCTACCAGGTGCACGGGCTGCCTCCGGGGGTCCCCCCCACCAGATTCTGTCCCATCTTCCCCCTGAGGTCTCTAAAATTCACCCCTTGCCCTATCCCAGCCCTGGCTGCCTCCGCCCACCTGCGCCCTGTCCCGTATCCCTCGCAACCCTGCCGTGGTTCTTGTGCAGAATGTTTGAACCTCCGTCCTCAGTAACGCCCCCCTCCCTCCCGCTCCCCTGCCCGCAGCACCACCCCCTGCCCTCCCGGCCCGCTCCCTCAGCGCCGCCCCCCTGCCCTCCCGGCCCGCTCCCTCAGCGCCACCCTCCTTCCCTCATCCCCTGCCCTCCTGCCCCGCTCCCTCAGCACCACCCCCGGCCTCCCGCACCGCTCCCTCAGCGCCGCCCCCCTGCCCTGCTCCCTCAGCGCCACCCCCCTGCCCTCATCCCCTGCCCTCCCGCTCCCTCAGCACCGCCCTCCT